TCTGAACCTCCTGTTGGATACTTACACGCATTTCTTAGTAAGCTCCCCTTCTAGTCAAACTTTTAACCCCAGTCTGCAGTGTAACAAACATTCTTTGCTTCCAAAGGGACTTTCGAAGTTTTCATTTGGTCTTCCATGCGACATTGGCGTCGTTTGGACTACAATTAAAAAATCTGCTTTCGACGATTTCGCGTGGTGAAGCGACTTCTGTAATCCCTGTCAATCGTGAGTTATCTTTGAAATTGCCGCTGGAGAATTAGCGTGAAAGCTAACAGTTTCCATTGGATTTGGAAGCGAAAGACTAAAAGGGTGTGAGTTTTAATTAACTAGAAGAAGGAATTGTTCCAAAAAGACTTGTTGCGGCCTGCTGGCGAGGCGAGAGCCAGATCGGCAGTGCTCCGGCATGTCGCACCCCGTCTCGGTCTCCGCGGTGGGGCCGGGGGCGTCTATCCCATCAAATGCCACATGACGCCAGAGACCCCTTGTGCGGAGTAGAGCCAATCAATGTACACTGAGCAACGCTAAGGGGGTTTTCTGACCAACGAGAAAGTTCGTAGACTCTATAATTGGGGTAAAACTGGGCCTTTTGTGGACAGGACTTTCTGGCGTCATGTGGCATTTGATGGGATAGTTGTCGGACGGCCCTAGACCCGCGAACTTGATGCGCTGACGCTATGGTTGATTGGCACCTGTCTCAGTCTCTGTGTCTTTGATGGAGAGAGGCATCCGATGTGAGTGCAAAGTTGCACGCGGCCCTCGCTAGCTGGAGTTCACGTGCGTTTGTGGGCTTTGGTCAGTTCGGAGATCGGCGGCAACAGTCGGCAATGAGACCAGAGTCTTGCGGCGCACGGAATCAGCAAGCCAGGTTCCAAACAATCGCATCAGTCAGCATCTTCCATCAAGAGATGATCAGAAAATGTACCGGCTTTAAACCGGTCCATTTGATGCAATAGCCGATACCTGAAAGGTCCCCGCTCGCGATCTACATTTAATGCCCGGCTTGCAGACTGTGGCCATGTAACCCCTCAAGTGTGGCCATCTCCGCGACTCGGGCTGAACGTCAAATGCGCCCTTCGAAAGTGAAAATCAGATATATGACATTGCGATCGAAGCTGATACAACTCATCATTCTTTCTCACCATCCACCACGAACTTGTATCTCTCCGAGATTTCGGCATGGCGGATATTGCAAGCCTCGACCGGCACCTTGCTTCGTTGCAGGCAAGCCCGACTACCGTTGACCTACTTCGAGACCTGCATACGCAAGCGCTCATCGAGCCCCCATACGTCAGTACAGACAATCAGCCCGCCTCTGTCGCCCTTGGCAGATTCGTTGCTCTTGAGCCGGACAAATGCGCCCTTGTTTACTTGCTGTTGCGTGCAGTCGGCGCGAGATACGTTGTAGAGGCCGGGACCTCTTTTGGCGTTAGCACAATCTGGCTTGCTCTTGCCGTTGGGCAGAATGCGGAACTTCAAAACTCCGACGGCGTTGTCATCGCCACAGAGAACGAGCCAACCAAAGCTAGCAGAGCCCGAGAGCACTGGAAGCGGGCTGGGAGAGAGGTCGAGAAGTGGATTCGTTTGAAAGAGGGGGATCTGCGGGAAACACTGAAAACAGATGTTCCTGAACAGATTGACTTTCTGCTTCTGGATAGTAAGTTGAGCCATAATCTTAAACCAACACTTTTCGCAACTCATGTGCATCTGACATAAGCCATTCACAGTCTGGTCAGCTTTGGCTCTTCCTACGTTGCAGGTTATCAAGGCTCGATTGAAGCCTGGGGCATTGGTTGTGGCAGACAATGTTGTCTCGACCAAGGATGGATACGCGAATCTCATTGCTTACCTGGATGACCCCAGGAACAGATTCAAGAATACAACTGCGCCATACTCTGGCGGGCTTTTGATAGCAGTATATATCGGCAATTAGGCTACGAGGTATTGGGAAATCTTCAAACAGTGCGATAGCTAGCTTGACTCTGAATTTCCTATACAAACAAGCTGGAGATGATCAGACCCTTTCACAAAGATTGCATTAGTCCTTCATGCTTAATGATCCAGGAGCCATCTTTCGGAAACCCAGGGGCATGACCCTTAGAGCCCTCCCAGCCGGCTGCCATATATCCAATTGCTAGAAGAAACCCGCCGTTTCCGGGGAAGTATGGAGGCGGAGATGGACCTTGTGAAGTTGTTAGAAATGGATGCGTACACAGGAACAGGAATGGGCTGGATAGGTCGTGACTCACTTGGTCCAGATCGGTGGGCAAAGCCCTGGTCACCGAATGTCCAATATCCGAAGTTTGTTAAATGATAGATGGCGCGCTCGGGATTCCCGACTCGTGCAGCATTGATAGCCAAAATGTTTCGGCCCCAGCCTCGGATCTGCTCATCACCCCAAACCTCCCATACTTTATCGGCCGTCCTAAGGCCAACAACAGGGTCCACCTAAACAGCGAAGACAGTCAAACTTTGTGGCAAGGACATAAAATAGGAAGATTCCTTACTAGCGGTGTGTCGGGCAAAATTCCCTGGAGCATAATGACACTGCGCGGATCCTTCTTCAGCGTCAGGTCATCCCACCATGATGCATTCAACCCGCCACCAACCCAAGGGGCATATAACCCTTCGAATTGAGGTGGTGGAGCCATACTATCTGCTACGGCAGTCCATCTGGGTGGGCATCCTTCCCCAAGCCTTTTTTTCCAATTACAGGCGGATGTAAGAGCCCATTGCCAGTAAGCGAGTTCGTATGACAAGTTGGAGATCTCGGTTGGAGAAGAGTTCTCGGTAACCCCCTGAATCGGGGGCCCAATGTCATACCTGCCAGTTTGATTGTTAAGCCACGCAAATGATGCCATGTAGTTGGCTGTTGCTGTGATGACACGATCCCATCGTTGAAGGGTCTCCTTGGTCGGAGTGGCTTTGTAGGCCAATTCTGCCAGATACATCGGATGGGGCTGTTGCCACTGGAGGAATGCGCGCGTCTCTCCAGGTGCAATGCCTTTTGTGACAAGCTCCGTCATCTTGGGCCACCTGGCTCCATCCCACCCCATCTTGCGAGCTCTTTCCTCTGAACTAGGTAAGAGACTTTCGTACACGGACGGGAAGATTCGATCAAAATATTGTTGTCGTCCCCACGTGGCCCACTGAGCACAATGCCAGATAACCATTTCGAGATGAAACTTTCCCCACCAGCCGTTGTAAACAAGGCCACTTTCTTGAGGGGGTTGGCCAGTGGCAGCGCTATTGACCCTCATCGCGTACTGAGAAAGGATGATACGCCGCTGCAACTCCGTTGCATTGGGGTTTGTCGACTTCGTGAGATCCACAAAGCCTCCTTCCTTCCAGTAGTTCTGCCACCCAACAACGTTTCTCCTTTGTATCTCTGACGGCAGCGATGGAATCTCCAATTTAGGGCTGTAATGAGCAGTGAAGATCAGCTTACTCGGGAACATATGACCCTGAGAAGCATCTCTGAGACGCAACGTATAGCGATGAGCGACTGTTCCGTTCTGATCTTCGTTCTGAATCTGAGCCAGACCGAGTGGTGTTTGATGAGGCCACCGTAAGTTCAAGTAGTACGCCGTCTCTTGCATCTCGTGGTAGATGTGAGCTGAGATTTGTTGGGAGGAAGAGTTATTGACGATTGATGTTGTATGATTCCGCGATGACTTGAGGTCATATGTTCCCATAAAAACCTCAAAGTCTGATGATTTCTCAACTTTGTGAATCGGGGGATACGGGAAGTCGAATAAGACGCTCAAGTCTCCGGTCGAAATCAAATCAGATTGAATTTCGAATGCAACAGAGTCTGTCTCGAAGTCTCCTTGCGTAATTACTGTCGTATTGTGTCCATCGATTTGAAAATTGGAGACGACCCTTCCATTCCAAGGATTGAGCTCCTGATGAGGTTCTGTGATTGTGGACAAAGGTTTATCCTTGTACGCGAGGCTGATCCGACCTAAGTTGATTCGGTTGGGGTTTGCGCTGAGCCACTTCGAAATTTCGGGTAATTTTGGATCTTCGATGTCATAGGAAACCTCCCTTCCGTGCGTCTCAATCGCTACTCCATGATAGTCACCAATTTTCTCACTTCAAATCCAATCAAATTGCACGGTCAGATTTAGCCTTCAATCCGTAACAAAGTATCCAATAACACTCACCCATTTTCGGGAAGTCTGTCTTTGTGCCAGCCCCAACTTGACAATGTGTTGAAAGGTACCAATGACTGGGTTCCGGTGATGTCCAAGTTGAAAGCAAAGTCGCCGTTACCCACTTGAAGTGGTGTAGTTGTATTGTCAATGGCAGTCGGCACTTCAGTCCTGATGACTTTGAACGATTCAACAACCGCGCGCCTGAAGATAAGTCTTAGATACGGTTTCCTGTATTTTCCACTTCACAAAGGGAACTTCTCACCTGTCAATGGCTGTTGATGCCAATACTGGCAGGAAAAGAAGGCATATGCGGACGTTCATCTTTGCGCGACTTCATCACACCTAGGAAAACCCTTTCAGTGCCGCCATTCGTCGACAGATGTTGGGAATGAACTTTGATCTTAAAAGGAGGCTTTTGGCGTCACCGGATAAATGCTAGCGTAGCATATCCGAGAAGCTTGATCGACTTTACATCCGCCTCCGTACTTCGGTGTAGCTACTACCGAACGAGGGGTTGCACCCCCGCAGCTACTCATCGTCCGACTGGGGACCCGCAAGTTCAAGATGAGCACCGCGAATAGGGTTCACTGTGACAAACTCATAGTAGTGTGGTCCAGGCAAACAATTCACTCGTCGATCATGCATTCCGGAAGGTCCGGAATATTCATGGGCACGCATCTGGAGTCAGGGCACACGATTACAGACAGATAAACATAGTGCAGGATCAGAAAATAGCGGAAAATTAACTAAGAAATGGCCTCCAGTCATAGATTCTCAAGTGAAGAATAGATGATATGTATTTCCTTAGAGTCCTAGTCAGTGGACGATGGGAAATTGACTTTGTCTTCAGGCCGGGAGATTGGCGTTCCTGTATACGAACTGCGCAATACGGGCGTTGAACTCGTGTTCTCTCTCCCAGAGAGGTATATGGCCGCATTCATCCCACACGAAATACTCCGGCCCGTCTCCAAAGCCGGTCTTGAACAAATCAAAGTGTGGGAATGTGATAGTCTCGTCCGCCGTGCCGTGCATGACCATGATCCGTGATCGGCCTACTAAATCGCCCATTTTAGCCAAGTCTTCTGAGCTTTTGAAATGCCATCCGGCGGCTACCGCTTGCAGGAGAACCCCTTTTCTGCGCGATACGTCTGTGTCGTCTTCCCGCTCCGCAAGCTCTTCTGCGACGAAACGATCGTGATTATTTGGAAAGCTGATATTCGCATCGAGAGACCCGGTGTCCGCGGATCTAAGAAACTTATCGCTGAAGATTCTGCGTGCTTTGTTGTCCAATTCTGTATCCAATCCAGATGGGAGAAACATGAAGACGCGCTGCATAGTGTGGTCCAGAAGTGGTGTGGTTCGAACCAGTCTCGGCGCTGATGAGATCAAGATGAGTGACTGGACTCGCTGCGGTATCAAAAGGGCCAGCTCCTGCGCAATCATGCCGCCGAGACTGATGCCAGCAATGTTGATGTCCTGGGGGTAGCTTGATGAATCCGAGTCGAGCCACCCAATTTGCTTCATTAGCTCCAGCACATCTCTTGCCATCTCTGCAGTACTATATCTGCAGTTAGGCTTCCCTGATTTTCCGACTCCGCGATTGTCGAATACCAAGCAGCTGTACCGGTCACCATGGTCATGACCAAAGAAACGCGTCTGCCGTTTCCACATATTCCTCGTCGCCCCAAGACCCATAATCCACACAATTTTCAGAGGCCCATTGCCATGAACCTCATACCAGAGTGGAAATGGACCGCCAGCCCGATTCTCTGCCACGCTGACAAGCCCCGATTCGGCAGGTTTGAGATTCCACTTTGTCGTTCCAAACGCAGGGTGCTGCAATACGTCGGCCGCTGACAGATTGACAGGGCGTTCGGTCATCTCGGAACGATCTTCCTGAGCCGCCTGACGATTAGCGGAAAAGGGGAGAAGGCTCGTAATTTGCTGTAGGCAGCTTGTCGCCATGTAGTCTGAGAATAAACTGTTCTTACAGTAATATGAATGGGAAAATGTTTTGGAAGAATTAGAAAGATCCTTTCAGCGAGATCGCAACATTCGGGTAATGCTGCTGAGATATCAATGCCGCACGGGGCGCGTTTCGCGTTTCAAGCCGGCCGAGGCAGGGAACCTTTCTTCCTTCTCTAAAGCTTACTTACTTTCCATTATGCGCCTGTCAATAAACAAAAGTCAATTCATCGCTCTGTGGGTCAACACAAGTAGTCTCGTCGAATAAGGCAGTGCACTTCTCGAGTCGTATTCTCGGATGTCCTGGATGTGGCGAGCAACATCTACATGTCCACTGCGAAGCCATGTTCGGCAATGCATTCTCACAGAACCACTAGCGAGGGACTTTTGGAGTGGGAGCCTGGCAGGTGACTGGGTTCACGATCCTTTCGTCTGACTTCAAGTATTCTCATTCGCGGATTTGTGACTGGCCAGTAATGTCACACTGAGCTGACAAAAATCACGTGTGGAGGCCTTCAATCAACTTCCCCGCTTCGCGCTTATCCGTAGAACTCCATTTCAACCCGGGGTGGGCCTTTTAAGGAGACGTATATTCCAGGAAGCGGGGGGCAATCGATTATGAATCAAGAAGACGCAATGGACAGCATCTGCGCCAGTTGTCACTGTTGCAAAACCTTTCCATGGGCCAACTGCAAGTTGCCTTTCCCCCAAGGCTACGGGGTTGAACCGCTCGAGAAATGGTATGCCAGTGCTGTGGCCGGCGGCTGCTCTTTGTGTCAGCTTGGGACAGCAGTCGCGAAGGACGCGATAAGCAAGTTCGGCTATGATGATGCATTCGCACTGTCGTCCATGTTCGACAACGAAATCGATAATGTCATCCGGTTGACACTGACGCTGAACTGTGGTAGTGATGAGCATATGACCAACCAAGTCCGGATGGTTATTCTCGCACGAGACGGGAGTCTCATAGGTCAGTCCTCTATCTGTAAATTGCGTTTGTTTCTTCGCAGTCGGAAGTTTTTCTTGGCCGGACTTCTGTGCAATAATTGACGTGGTTGACCGGAAGCTAAGATGATATCAAGACAGCAACGGCCACCACCTAGAACCATACAACCCCATTTTGAACACCAACGCAACGAAAGACTGCATTGAACGAGCGCAGGAGTGGATGAAAAGCTGCTCTTTATCGCACTCTACGTGCCACATAAGACCGAAACCTCTGCCAACGAGAATCGTTGATGTGAGCGTTGATCCGCCCCGTCTACAAATTACCAACAACGAGCTTGGCAATTTTGTTGCTTTGAGCCATTGCTGGGGCTCTTCCGTTGATGGCGCCGGTCCTCCAATGACGAGACGTAACAGCATTGGAACACATGTCCGAGCCATCGATCAAGTCACTCTTCCACGCAACTTCAAAGACGCTATTGCCGTGACTTTGGCATTGGGCTTCACGTATATCTGGATCGACTCTCTTTGTATTGTGCAAGATGATGGAGAGGATTGGGCGAAAGAGGCTGCCGGCATGAAGAGCTTTTACGAGAATGCCACTCTCGTTTTAGCAACCAGTTCGTCCGACAATGTTTCACGAGGTATATTGCGGGAGAGGTCACCGTACAAAGAGGGTACGCTGTCGTTTGACACGTGTGGTGTTCCTGGTTCGGGGGCAATCACATACAGGGTGATCCCTAACCATGCTGGATGGGAACCTGTGGTCCAGGGTCCCATAGATGCCCGTGCTTGGTGCTTCCAGGAACGATTAATGGCTAGGAGATATCTTTCTTTTGGCTCACATGAAATGCTTTGGGAGTGTCTTGATGGCTCTCGTTGCGAATGCGATTACAAATCGATTTACTACAACGTGGCCTCTGGACGCATCCAGCACAACACTCAATCTTACAATATCGAAACTCTCATCAAGGAAGGCCGGGAGGAGATGGTGTTCGACAGCTTCTCACTGTATGCTGTCTGGGCACGCATCATCAGGATTTACTCACGTCGGCAACTTACGCATCAATCTGATAAGTTAGTCGCGGTAACTGCCGTCGCAGATCGCTTCCGTGAGGAGCTCGAAGATCAATATCTTTGGGGCTTATGGAGACGAGATTTCCTGTCTTCTCTCTGCTGGTTTGCTCTCCAGCCAGGCGATATCGGTGCGCCCAGTATGCCTTCGTGGACTTGGGCTTCTATCTCCGGGCGGATATCTATGTACTTTGAAGCTCACGACAAGGACACAGTGGCAATGGCTGAAGTTCTGGAATATCCCGAACCTTTGGAGAGTCAGGAGCCCAATGATGTAGCAACGCCGACCATAGTTCTTCGAGGACCCATGGTTGAGGCTGTTGTGTCCATTGAAAATTCTGGGCTCGCTACGCTGGATGTCCCGAGTGCAGGACATGCGGAACCTTTGCCAGCAAAGTTGACGACTTCGGATCTGTGGCTCGATGTTCCACTCGAGACTGGAACAATTTCCTTTGATCACGAGACAACGACTAGCCAGAGAGCTCTCGCTGGTGTCCAGAGACCAGGAACGTTTCCAGTTCATCTCATGTCCATGTTTCACCGGCAAGGGAAACTCTCACCATTCCTAATTCTCGGTCGTTCTCAAGCCAGCCCGAGCCATTTTCGCCGTCTGGGGTTTGGGCGGGTCCGCGATCCTGAGGGATCTGAGACCAGATTCTCTAGCAAATGGACGGTTGCCCGGGCCGTAATTATGTAAATCTTCAACAGAAAATCGCGGAGGGGCTGGGGTTGTCGTTCACCTTCTGAACAATGAAATATCCCAGTCATGGTCTCATTCTCACTTTTGGCGCATCCCAGGCACGGTATACGTTCATTAACATGTCGCGTATTAATGCAAGAAGGCTACCATCAATTCCCTTTTTAACTGACACACAAGCCGAATACACATGTCCCCAGAAACACAGACATGAACTTGTCATAGGCTACTCAAGTCTCAGTTTACCACTGCCAACAGGAATCCATCGATGATAATCCTTCCCCTGTGCTCGGTGTGAGCCGTCGATACCATCGGCACGAGCGTTGCCCTGACGCGAGCATCCTTCCCGACCTGAGTAAGTAGTGATTGCTTGCCGTCCTCTGTCGCGCCGCTGTCCAAAGCATTCCAGACCACATTATCGACATAGATGCACCCTTTGGGCCTAGTTAACTTGACTGCCCAGTCAAAATACTTCTCCTGTTCACCCCAAGAAGCATCGACAAATACCATGTCAAACTTGCGTCCCTCCTCTGCAAGCTTTGGCAAAACATCCAATGCAGCGCCGAGTATGATCTCGGCGTCGAGACCATCCAGATTCTGGAGGGCGACGTCTCGGTGCTTTGGGTTGATCTCAATACTGGTGATCTTTGCACCAGTCTCTGCAAGCCAGATGGTTGAATAGCCTCCCAGGGTGCCAATCTCAAGGACGGTTTTTGCGCCCAGAAGCTGGCACTGGATAGCAAGGAATTGTCCCTGCAGAGGGGCAACCTCGATGGATGGAAGTCCGTTCTGCTCAGAATTGATGATTGCTCGGTCAAGCCGACGGTTAGGTTGCAGCAGTGTGCCTCGGGCTAGAGTCTCAATGGCCTTAATGGCTGTTACGGTGTCTCTCTCAGCGGTCGTCATAGTAAGCGTGCGGGCGAGGTATCTTTGAGTAGATTGGCTGTCTTGATTGAGGATGAGGAAGTCTTTTGGAATTTTTCTTCCCCCTCAGAACTTAAATAGACGGCGAGCTGAAGTATGCAAAGTCGGATTACGAGTTCTCTGCTGTGCCACCGGAGGCCTGGCTCGGGCATACGAACAAGGAGATACGACGCGATACCTCTCAAAATGTTCGGAACATCGGAAATAGAGACTGTTGTGAAGAAACAAGTGATGACTATCATTGGTGGTTCAGGCTGGCTGATCTTACCTGCCGCGTGTCTGACGGCCGGCGCGGAGCAAATGTGGTGTCCATCGCCGAAACCTGGTCTTAGCAGTCTAATTAGTCTAAGGCTGGAGTGAGTAAGCGGAAAGCAAAAGGTATTATGAAGGCCATTTCTATGTAGGTATTTTTGAGTTATCACAGCTTTGACCTCGATAATACGATAGGTATCATGGATGCCTCATGCTCTCTGGGGTGAGCGTTGCCAATTGTATCGGCGGTGGTGGGGCCGAGTCCGATTGCAACCGCGAGCTTGGCAGCCGAGTTTCCTGCCGCGTGCGACAGGAGTGGGGGCGAGTTCGAGTGCCGGGCTCTTGAAAGTGGAAAGAAGGATAATACCTATGAGTTTCGACACTGCTTCGTAACATCGACTTTTTGTGGGATTCCTTGGGTACTAGGTACTTTCATTTGAGAGTCAACGAGGCCATGCTTACCCAGACTGGTTTCAACGTAGACTGCATCTCCGACGGCGTGCTGAAGGGGGCAGCTTTTGTTGATATATGTACATTGGGTTTGGAGACAGGCCATTCAACGATGGAATCGCGGTGATCTCGAGATCGATGGCGTTTCCCCCCCCCCCCCCCCCCTGGCCTAAGACATTGGGGTTGTGCCGGTCGCCGACTTTCGGGCGACGACCGAATTTGCTTTTGCGGTACCCGCGCACTAACATCCAAAAAGCCACGGTTTGTATGCATGACATCCTCGGAAGATACCCACTGTACTATTGCAGGCCAATCGGAACATCCGAAAAGAAGTGCCGCATGGTACCGTGTGTGAACATTCAAGCGTGTTGCCGCGAGTCGTGTTTGCTGTCTGAGCGCTTGCCGAACCCGCTCTGCCGCGCTGCGGGCTCATCCGGCGGAGCATTCCACACTTGGAGACGCAATGGACGCAGGTCAACCCGCCAGGGGCTCAACGGCAAGTCGCCGCAAAGGATCGACTTGGAGAACAACACCAGTTGCTAGCAAGCGTTACGGGTCAAAAGTGAAGAGCGAATTCTATTCGCTGACCTGCGCGCATTGAGATGTCTCAATGACAAACCGTCATGGCCGAGGTGGTGGCCCATTCCACTTGTGCCAAAGTGCCACATATCTGTCTAAATGTTCGTGATTTGCAATGCGTAAGATACTTAGGAAACGTTACTGGTTGTTTTTCTATTATTACAATTTCAAGTAAGGATAACACGGCCCAGAACCCTTTCCAGACAAACCCAAAAACATCACGCAGATCATCGGAGTTGGTTGGCAATGTAGAATTAGTATTCAATGCTGACCTGTCAGCTGGAATGGTATTTTGAATTCCTTGAAGATTGTACACATTATTCGAAAAGAAAGCCCATTTTAATCGTCAGTACCCTCGTTACCGCCAAGCTCGTGATATCCTAAACCATGCTGTTTCCACCGCGCTTCTTCTCAACTTCCATACCAAACTCCCGTTGGACCCGAATCGCACCAAGTCCTCCTTTGTTGACAATCTGCTTCTGGCTGTGGTCGTCGGGCAAGCTCTCACTACTGTTGCCATCCATGTCCCTGCCGTATACCCTCGTCTCGACGCCGGAGCGGCTCGCGTTTGCAGTCCCTTTCTTAGTCGGATCCCTCTCGCCGAGTTCCAAATAGCTGTTCTTGACCGCTCCAGATGCAGCGGGATCCTTGGAGGATTTATTCTTCGACCCAGTGAAGGATGTCAGGCGTGACAAGGCGCGTTCGAGAAGTGGACGACAAGCAGGAAGGTTCGCGACAAGCATGCCGATGCCGACTTCGGCCTGTGCCCAGGCGAGGATGATACTGAGACCCTGGAGGAACTTCGTCGAGTCGTTCAAAAGGAGAAGGTACTTGAGCCGGACGATGGGGGCGATGGAGGCACTAAATGCTGTCAGCGAATAACTTCGGGATCCGGGGGTAGAATATAGGGGTCGCACAAGAAGCCAAGACCGAGCAGGCCAATGACGGAAGCCTTGATTCGGTTCGCCATCTGGAGTCTCCAAATGAGGGCGAATGGGAGAATGGCAAAGATCCAGTCGGTTGAAATCGAGACAGCTGCAACAAGGAACGAGAGCGCGGTTTGTATTTCGCGAGGTTGGCATGTTCCTTGCATAAGCGGGAACCAATTTTTCCTGCAATGGTCAGTAACGCATACAGCAGGCTTCGTGGGCTTTGGAACTTACTCAACCGGGCTGCACTGGAAGAAAAGGTACATCCCAGTGCCACCAGTGCAGACTGTAACAAGTGCTAAACACGTGTAGATGACAATTTGAACCCAACGCTGCCCGTTCGCGATACGGAGAAGAGTGAAACCAATAGACCATTTCAACGTAACGAGGGTAAAACACCAGAACTCTTGAAACACATAAAACCACTGCGCAACAAATCAGTAACCTAGCAATAAAATGGCAGCCATCTTCATTACTTACGAAGTAAGAGTTGGCCTGCTGTTCTGGTGTCAGGGTTGAGTCGAGCTGCCCAACGCCACTCCAGGCCATGCCGATCAAGCCGACTTGAGATACCGTCCAAACCGGCTTCAAATTGTCAGTCGAGACCTTGCTGGAATCTGCCTGATGAAACATACAATGGTAGCTACCATGGCCCAATCGTCGGGTCCCCACGCCTTTCTCTGTGTCCGGATCATAAATCGCAGCGCCATGCTGATGATGTCGAACGGCAGCGGCACCAGGACCGCTGCGGCCATGTCCTTCGAGGTTGCGGCGCCCATGGTGTCTGGATTGACAGATTTGCGATCACTGAAGAACCGGCTTCGTGCTCCACGCGTTGGTTTGTCGAAGGGGATGAAAGAGCCACAAAACAACGAACAGACGAGCAACGACCTACCGACCCAGAAAACTTATAAGAGAACGGGATACCAAACAATAGCCAGCATTTGCCAATTACTTAATAGCGTCTCGGTTCCTTTTTTAAGAGACGAACCTGCACAAAGTATCCACAAACCCCAGCCCCGGGACCTCTGCCGCGTAGTGTGGCACTGTGGCAAGGAAGACGTCGAAGTCTGAAGGAAGCGAGCATGGAAGACTCTTCAAACCCCTTGCCCAGCTCAGACTCTCTAATTTCGACGGCATCCCATCGGGACTTTCTTTTATTAACTTGCCAACCAATCAAGACATTTGACTATCCCTCGACCATGGATGGCTGGTTTCTTTCGACAGGGAAGGTCTGTCCTCCCCTTCCAGTCTCACGTGAGTTAATACGCATGTGTCCGTCATACTTGCATCTCGCATGGCACAAGGAATATGACGATACTGTTGGCTTTCACCACGATTTTATGTATCAAAACTTGGTGTGATCTCTTTCAGAAGATCGTGGTAGGTGGTCTACTTTTCGAACTTCTGTACCGTTCGTCTGTGCGATCGCGATCTTAGCGGCAGCTTCGTTTGGGAGCCTAGCGGTTCCTGTCGATGTTACGCGAGATCGGTTGGTTGTGAAAATGCCAGCTCCTTTCATCCGCCTGGTGTCGCATTTATCCCACTGTCCCGAAACGTCTAGCCTCCATCTAAGGGAGATCGATACTGTATTTGGCAGATGCTCTTCCGAGGATCGGGGGGCTCTTTAGCGGATTCCGGCGGTGTCATCCTGCCTAGCGACTTGGCTTGATCCATGATGGTGGATCCAGCTCTTCAACATGGTTTGCTGGAGTGCCAGTCGGTTACTTGGCCGACCCACGCAGCCGGGCTGCCTTGCTCACAGTATGCAACTGTAGTTGTTGATACTCGTGGAGTCGCGTATTTCAGCTGTGTCCGTAAACCCATAATTACCCCTCTGTGAACGGAGATGGGGGCCACTTTGAT